CCATTTTCTGAATCTGTTACGGAACAATTTCATGGATCAGATGGTTGATGTCCCAACCAGGAAGAATGCTATCCTCTATTTAATAATCTCCACAAATGCGGACATAGTTACAGACATAGCGATTAGGGATACATTGGGTAATAGTGACATAGGATGATTACTTTTAATATTGGGTACAGAAAGGAGAAGCGTGTTGGTTTGACAAGAACACTAAACTTCAAAAAGGCAAACTTTGATAAGCTGTGTCGCCTAGTACATGACACTAAATGGGACAACTTATTTCTGGAAATGAACACTAATGAGAAGTGGGACTGTTTTAAGAATACATTACATAACGCTATTACCAAGTTCATACCATCGGGTAACAAAAATAAAAGGTCAAGGACTAAGCCTGCATGGCTAAATAAAACAGTAAGACACCACATTAAAGACAAGAAGATTGCATTTATAAAATATAAGATGGAGGGGACTGCATTGGCATTCCAGAAATACAAGGAATGCAATAAGAGATGTAAACATGAAATCCGATCAGCTAAAATACAGTATATGATGAAAAGCATATCGCCACAGTCAGTAAAAAGAACCATAAAAAAATTCTTCCAATATATAAACAGTAAAAGGGTAATAAAAGAGCAGGTAGGCCCAATAAAAGATGACAATGAGAGAATAATCGCAAATGACAGGGAGAAGGCTGAATTATTGAATTCATTTTTCTCCTGGTGTACACTCAGGAAAAAGACGGGTTTAATGGAGATAAGAAGGTGAGTAGCTCAGGCCGTAAAATACCGAAGTGGTTAACAGTAACTGGGGTTCAACAAAGACTTGAAAACCTTAATGCAAATAAATCATTAGGACCAGATAACCTGCACCCCAAGGTACTAAAAGAACTCAGCCAGGTTATAGCAAGACCATTATTCCTCATCTTCAAGGACTCCATAATGTCTGGAAGGGTACCAAGTGACTGGCATAAAGCTACAGTAGTATTAATCTTCAAAAAAGGTTCAAGATGCCAACATGGTAACTACAGACCAGTCAGTCTAACATCAATAGTATGCAAACTATTTGAGGGTAAAATAAAGGACTATTAAGTGGATTTTATCCACTGTAATGGTATAATAAATGATAATCAGCATGGATTTAGGAGGGATCGTTCTTGTCAGACCAACCTACTGACATTCTACGAAGAGGTGAGTAGAGACCTGGATGGAGGGAAACCGGTGGATGTGGTATATCTGGATTTTCCCAAAGCTTTTGACACGGTACCACATAATGGCTTAGTACACAAGCTGAAATCTATGGACATTGATGAAATGGTGTGTACATGGATAGAGAACTGGCTACACGAACGTGTCCAGAGAGTATTGATAAATGGCTCTTTTTCAGATTGGTCTATGGTGGAGAGTGGCGTGCGCCAGGGTTCTGTGCTAGGCCCAATACGGTTTAATCTGTTTATTAATGATATCGGGGAAAGTGTTAACAGCCATGTTTCTGTGTTTGCTGATGATACTATAATTGGGAGGGTAATAGGCATGGACTTAGACACTATAACATTACAGGAGGACCTTCATAAAATAGGGGAGTGGGCAACCATATGGCAGATGAGGTTTAATGTTGAAAAATGTAAAGTAATGCGTTTTGGGGTTAAAAACAGGCAAGAAGAATACACATTATTGGGTACTCCACTACACTAGTGAAGTCAGAAATGGAAAAAGATCTGGGGGTCATAGTAGATCACAGATTGAATAATAGTTTGCAATGCCAGTCTGCAGCAAACAAAGCGGGCAGAGTACTGTCAAGGGGCGTAAGAGCTTTTTTTCAGATCGGTTAAAGTCTGGAACTCGCTGTCACAAGAAGTGGTATCCGCTGAGAGTATTGAATCATTCAAAAAGCATTTAGATACCTTCCTCAGAGATCGCAACATACAGGGTACAGGTACACTTAAAAGGACGGAAAAGGGACTCGTGTACACATATACAAATGCAGAATCACACACATACACACAAAGGTTGGACTTGATGGACCTGTGTCTTTATTCAACCTCAAATACTATGTAACTATGTAACTATACTCCACAGAGCGGCCTGGTGGACTTACTTTGAGGCGCTCCAGATACCGCACATGACAGGGCTCACAGATAAGGTTTCAGCAGCTCTAAACTCAGCACAGAGCAGGGGGTGGGCGCGAGGTGGACATTACACCAGCTGGAGAACCATACCACTGCATCTATTTATCTGAGGCCATATGTCTGCACGGAGGGTGCGACCATTTCCCCCGCACTAATGCAGGCCCTGTGCTCAGGGTGATTAGTGTGTGTACACTCCTCTGACAATGACTGAACTCATAAGAACTTCAGAAACTTCTCTTCATAGTGCCTAAAGGTGTAAGAAATGGGCAAATAGCATCTCTCAAAACATTAGCTTCATGGCACCGCAAGAGGTTAGAGAACATTCTACAACAGGCATGGCGACATCGTGGGCAGTTTTTTCTAAAGTCTCAGCAGAAATGATATGCAAGGCAGCAACCTGGTAGTCTAGACATACTTTTATAAACCATTACAGAGTCAATCCTGTGGCTCTTTTACAACGTTATCTTTTGGCAAAAGTATTATTGTCTCAGGAACTTCTGTTTTCTGTTTCTTTTCCTTATTTATTTCAAGTTATAAACATACTCTCAAAGGTATGATCATTATATCCCATTGTGTGCTGCCATGATGCTCCAGGAAAATGGAAAATTGTATACTCACCTTTAGTAATTTTTCTTCTCTGGTGCATCTTCATGGCAGCACACAGCATACCTCCCCTCCCATGGCTCAAGATAATTACTAGGGATGCACCAATACCATATTTTTAAGGTTGAGTACAAGTATCGATACTTTACCTCAAGTACTCGCCAATACCAATTAACTATACCTTTTTTTAGTGCCATGTGACAGTTTTTCTAAAACAATACAGACTAATAATTTTAGGATACTGGTGGAGTACTAGGGCCCGGTCTCAGCTACAACAACTGCAACTGACTCTAAGCTGTAGAGAGACTACAAATCCCAGCAATACATTACACAGCAATGCAGAAAAATATGAAGCTACATACTCTGTGTTGCTTTGGGGTAGCGGCATGATGTCTCCAGGGTCTTCGGAGGGCTGTGTGGAGTCTCAGGTGGGCTGGCCGGGGTCTCACCAGGGGTCTGGAGGGTCTTGCAGGCAGTGGAAGCACTGTAAGCAGCGTTGAGTATTTTTGTGTTTAAGAGGTGGAGCGGGCGCTGTAAACAGGCACCGTGGTTCACAGGAAGGCTGCCAAAGTCCCCAGCAACCGTAGGAACGCTTCAGTGTAAAAAATTTAAGCATCAGTATCGGCGTTTACTATTGGGGCATTGTCACAAGTGCTCAGGAAATGCCCATTATCAGATAACGGTACCGGTGCATCCCTTATAATTACTAGAATGAGGGGGGATGTTATGAAATGCAAAAATATAGAGGGCTTGCCCTATGGCATTAAGAGGCGGAGCATTAACCTATTGTTTGGTGCCATGAAGATGCACCAGGAAAGGAAATTTTACTGAAGTATACAATTTTTCATGATATATTTATATTCTAAATTATATGGAGTATAACATGCCGTATGATGTGTTGCTTCCTTTGACATCAATCAGTCATTTTCATATAAATTTAAAAAAACAAAACAAAAAAAAACTTTAAAGTTAATTCTAAATTGATTAACTGTAAGGGGTTTTAAAGCACAACCTATTGAAGATATAATGTGTAGGTTTTACGTGCATTGTCATGTAAATAATTTTCGACTTCGCAATGGTGTGAAAAATGCAAAAAAAGGGTTCAAGTGGACCTTGCAGTAAAATGCAAGATTCGCTTAATAAATAATGCCCCCCTCCGGTTGTAAAAATATCTATAGTTTGAACTGCAAAAATATAGAGTAAATACCTAACTTTTGTCTTCCACATTGACACAGGACATGACATCACTATCTGTCTGGCAAAATTCCTAGGAAAAGATGAGTATCTTAAATCACGTGAGAAAACATTGCAGCCCAGTACCAGGCCATCTTCTCTTGAGATTTGGGATCCTCATGATTCCCAGGATCTCACCAAAAGCATTGTGGCATCACACTGACCTAGGCACTATAGGCGGAAGGCAGGGGTAAGGTAAGCATATATTCCAACTTTTTTCCTTACATGAATATTTTTTCCTACAGCTATTTTGTGTAGAAGGAGGGGGCTTTAACTGAAACATTTTACTGTAAGGTGCACTTTAAGCAATCCAACCTTCTAGCATACCACAGTGTAAAGCAAGCTCTCTCCGCTTCGCATAAAAATTGCACCCAAGGTTCAAGGACTCCTCAGGCATGCAGCTGTAACATTTATTACACGATTGTTTTAACAGAATGTTTTTACATTCATAAATGTATTGGTACAGAGTCCTGATTCCATTGCATTGCAGAGTCCTGATTCCATTGGGGTGCAGAGTCCTGAGTCCATTGGGGTGCAGAGTCCTGAGTCCATTGTGGTGCAGAGTCCTGAGTCCATTGTGGTGCAGAGTCCTGAGTCCATTGTGGTGCAGAGTCCTGAGTCCATTGTGGTGCAGAGTCCTGAGGCCATTGTGTTGCAGAGTCCTGAGGCCATTGCTTTGCAGAGTCCTGAGTCCACTGCATTGCATTATAGAAAGCAAAAATATAGAGGGCTTGTCCTTTGGGGTTAAGTGACGGTGCATTAACCTATTGTTTGCTGCCATGAAGATGCACCAGGAAAGGAAAATTACTGAAGTATACAATTTGAAGCTGAGTGATACACAAATAAGATACAGGTTTGTTAATAGCTAAGGTACTTGAATGCAGTTTTAAGATTTAACTCTTTAGGTTATTGTCACTTTCACTCAATGCATGTTATTATATGGTGTTTACTTTGTGTCCTTTTTTTACTTTTTTTTTTTGACCTAGGTGCAATACAATAATCAGTAGAGGTTATACATATTCAGTATATACTGTAAAGATCATGTCCAGAAGTCAAAGGATTTCTCTGGCTGGCCAATGTCAACCATCACTTTAGTATACAGCCTATGCTTTGTGATACCGATGATTGTGTAGTTCAGTGTACTCAGTCCGTCTATGTGCATTCGCGTTCCAGCTTTCTTTATCAGAGGTATACTGGTTAAAAGGAGAAAAGAGAAGAAAATCATGTAAATGCGAGCTGCCCTTGTACTGAGAAATCAAACTTCAGGTTTTCTAATTCCCTTTCTATACAACTCTTTTTAGAAACACGTGGAACAAGTTGAAGCTCAGTGGATGACACATATGCTACTAAATCTGCAGTACAGATGACAACTTGCTGATATGTATCAATACAATAAGCCATAGGGAGAAATTATATGAAAAATGTATTTTAAGTAACTAATTACACCATCTTCACCTCCAAATGTAGAATCCTAGCAACACTATATCTGTGTGGGAAGTGTCTAATTTAGAATGTAAGAGGGCTAGGCAGAGTGGGCTGGTGAGGTTTTTATGTAAAGTGAACTTGTTCTTTAAAGCCAATGGGTAAGTGTACTGTCATTGTTAATCAGCTAGCATTTTAAAAAGGGTGTCATCCATAGCATCGCCCTATTTCTCTCTTAACGGGTTTACTTTAACACTAGAGATCCTTCCCCAACTAGTGTTCCCTGGTACCATGAGGATACTCCAGAGGTTCCTGGAAGTCCTTGAGTTGTGCACAATGGCAAAGTGATCTCTCAGTTACACTAACCACCAATGCAAGGGGCCAATTTTCCACTGACTGCCAATGTAAGGGGTTGCTTATACACTGACCACTTATGTTAAGAAAAAAAACTATAATTATCTCTGCCTGCATTTGTTTTTGGTGATTATTCAGTTCATTTCAAGATTATTACTGAAAATAAATTTTGCCCTATACAGCAGGTGGGTGTTAAAAATGGCCTGGCCTGGGTGTCAAATACTCTGTCAAATGTATTGTTCTTTCATTTAAAACTTTTTACAACTCACTAGTTATGGGAATGTACTGAGGTGAGCTGTAGGTATAATCATTTTTAGAAGGTGTTTAATGGGGGCCAAATATTATTTCAAGGGTTCCTCTGGGATAAAAAAGTTGATCAAGGCTGGTATATATTCTATGTATATTCAAAGGACATAATCAAAGTAAGCAGCTTGGCTTCTATGTATACCAAGAAGTAGATGTCCATTCAGTCAGTGTGTGATATAAATGACTAAAAGGTGTTCTACACCAGTGGTTCTTAACCTGTGTAACCTCATGACCCAAATTTGTCCTTGGTCATTAAGTCGTGACCCAAGTCGGATCACAATGGAACGCACGGCATTGCAGTACTGCATGTTCCAGTGCAAACGATCAAACTGTGAGTGGGAGGTGTGTTTGGGGTACCATTCAAATGAATGGCAACACACCTCCTGCACTAGAACGAACAGTAGGTGCAATTGTATGGTAGTTTGGGATTAAAACACTGACAGACGGGGGGCGCTAGTGAGCAGCCAACCAAGATGGCCGCAACCTAATCTGGCTCCACTACACCCGGACACGAACCCCATACTCTAGGCGCTATATCGGTGCCACACTACTTGGCAAACTAGCTGCACGACTCCCGGAACAGCTGGAGACTAATAATGAGAAGAAACTACAACAACACTCGCAACCGTTCCCGCGGAGCAAACACCCCTGCCTCGACGCACACCCCAACCAAGATGGCGCCGTCACCCTCCGGGCCGAACTCACAGCCTTCCTCCCAGGAATAGGCCGTAGATGCGGACCGATCCTCGAATGCAAGTGCCTCCTCTCCAGTACCGTGCCACCAACAGGAGACGGTATGCAGGGACTCTGAACTACTGGATCGCTTTAAAATACTGCTCCAGAAGGAACTGAGAACTGCCACAGACAAATTGGCTGCACAGCTATCACGGGATATTAAGGAGCTGGGCACCAGAATCCATGACATCGAATACAAGATGGATGATGTGGTTACCATTGTGGAGTCCCACGAACAGGACTTAGACTCAGTCAGATCTGATCTGTCCAATACCCTTCTCAAGTTGGAGGACCTAGAGAACAGAAACGGGCGCGGTAATATCCGCTTACGGGGCATCCCTGAACACGTGGAGGATCTAACTGCCACGGTCACGGCCATGTTTCAGGAGCTTCTTCCTCACTATCCGGTGGACAGGCTCGAGATGGATCGGGTCCACAGGGCCCTTGGCGCGAAGAGACCGGATGGCCCTCCGCGGGATGTAATCCTTAAACCTACATTCTACAGATCCAAGGAAGAAATCATGAAGGCTGCATGGGAACGCCGTGACCTCACGTTCCAGGGCTTCAAATACCAAGTATATTCAGATCTGGCCCCACAAACCCTTCAGAAGAGGAAGGCCCTGAAACCCTACCTGAATGCCCTAATGCACCACCGCATTAAATACAAATGAGGCTTCCCTCTTAAAGCCTTCTTCACTTACGAAGGTCGTCAGCACTCGTTCACCACCCCAGAGGAAGCGGGCCCGCTGCTGGATTCCCTACACCTGGCAACACCGGAGATAACTACCACCCCATCACAGTCGTCACAAGCTCCACCGAGACGCCGCCTGATGCCGCTATGGGAGCGCGGCCCACGACCCCGTAGAGAACGTGCTGGAAGCCGACAAAGATCCCAACAACCCCAGGAAGAACCCCACGGCTGAATGCTCAATGAAGTTGCCTGGATTTCCTCAGTCCAACTCTTGGAGTTTATTCCCGCCTGAACCACAGAACCGTTGTGGGTACCTTTTCCTGAACCTACACCGGCCCCCACCCCTCCCTTCAGAACCCTCCCGAAATCAACACCGGACCGAAGACTCTGATCGATGGGTAATGTAACTGAATGCCCCCATGGGATGGTCCACACAGCTGTGTACTTTACCTCCTAATCTGTGAGGCCTGTTTATATTGCTTGATCCGCTTGGTTTGTCATCCTCATTGTGGACCCCAAGAGAGGTGGTTGGAAATCGGACGGACCGCATTATCACAAAATATGCCACATAGGCCCCTCCAACAAAACTACACAGATCTCGCCCCTCCCATGAGGCCATGTATTATGGACAACTATGACCTTATAGTTCTTAAGTTCACCAGTCTCGCCTCCTCAAGGCTATCCCAGCTGGACCTCCGTCAGGACAACTAACCAGACCCCCTCCGACCATGATGTCTTCCTATAAGCTCATAACCCATAACGTCCAGGGCCTGAATTCACCCTGTAAACGTAGGAAAGCCTTTAGTTATTACGCGTCCCGCAACATACATATTGTGGGTCTACAAGAAACAAAATTCTCTGACACATCTAAACCCAAATTTTTACACGCCGCCTACCCACAGGTGTTCCATGCCACATTTGGGGAAAAGAATAGGGGAGTTCTCCTGGCCTTTCATCAAACCACACCCTTCACCTGCACCAAAGAAATAGCTGACCCGACGGGCAGATATCTGATACTACTGGGTTAACTCATGGATATCACAATAGTCACCTATTATGCTCCAAACTCGAGGCAATCCTGTTTCTTCACTCATCTCCTAGGAGTGGTTGAGAGACATAAGGTGGGCACCCTGCTAGTGATGGGAGACTCCAATCTAGTCCTCAATCACAGGTTAGATAGGCATTCCTCTAGCTCCAAATCTACGTCCCTATCCCCAGATCATGGAGAAATTGACCTCTTCTACTCCCTTTTATCAGAACATGCCCTGATAGACTGCTGGAGGGAAAAGAACCCCACTATCAGGGACTTTACATTCTATTTGAATCCTCATGATAGCTTCTCCCGCATCGACCACATATTCGCTCCACCAGTCCTTCCTCCCTAGAATAAACTCTGCCAAAATACTTTCTGTTCCCTGGTCTGACCATTCCCCACTTCTCCTCGACTGCGTGTCCCTATCCTCCAGCCCGACGTCCTACACTTGGCGCCTGAATTACACGTTGCTCACGTTCGCTGACTCGGTGGCACTCGTCCATGACCATCTCCTCCATTACTTTGCAGAGAATGGAGGATCAGTGACCTCACCAGTCTGCTTGTGGGAAGCCCACAAGGCAACACTCCGAGGCGACCTTATACGGCTAGCCGCCCGCAGGAAGAGGGACCGCGAAAGTAAAATCCAGTCCCTCTACACTGAATTGGAAAGTCTCGAGTCGGCTTGGAAAACTGCACCCTCCCACAGGTTGCGCCGCCAGGTGGCCTCGGTCAAAGTGGAACTGAATCTTCTTCTTAATGACAAGGCTGAGAAACAAATCAGGTGGGCAAACAGTTCCTTTTATGCGCGCTCAAACAAGCCAGGCTCTATGTTAGCAAATTTATTAAATGCAAAGCCCAGGGGGGTTAAACCCATCAAGCTTCGGCTCTCTAATGGGACCCTAACGGCGAACCCAGCCCACATTGTATCCAAATTCGCTCATATCCTGCGCAAACTATATAGCCCCCCCCCCCAATTCGATACCCATAAGGCAAACTCCCTGTTCACGCACTTCCCCTCCACTACACTGTCCAGCTCCATGGTGGAAACGATGGAGGCTGAATTAACTGAGTCAGAAGTCTTGGCGTCCATCAAAACACTTAAACTTGCTAAATCCCCGGGGCCAGACGGATTTACGGCCTTATTTCAAAAAATTATCTGACATCTTAGCTCCACACCTGGTGGCACTATTCAACCATCTGTCTGGAGGCCGGAAGCTACACTCCTCCTCACTGGCAGCTCAGGTGGTGATGCTTCCAAAGCCGGGACCGGACGACACAGGCCCACATAATTACAGGCCCATATCTCTCCTAAATATAGACACCAAATTACTCTCCAAAATCCTGGCCTATAGGATAAACTGTTTTCTAGAAACATTAATCCACAGAGACCAAGTCGGCTTTGTGCCACACCGCCAGGCCACAGATAACACAAGAAAAGTAATTCAGCTAATACACGCCATGCGGCAAACTAAACTCCCAGGCATGTTGTTGTCCCTGGACATCCAAAAGGCCTTTGATAACGTCTCCTGGGACTATTTATACTACATTTTGGGAAAGTGGGGATTTGCTCCAACCTTTTTACGATGGCTGGATGCCCTATACAACAACCCTTCGGCTACAGTGAGATACCTCCAATGCTCCTCCCCACCATTTACCATCCACCGGGGCACAAGACAGGGATGCCCCTTGTCCCCAATTCTATTTGTACTAGCAATAGAGCCCCTGGCACACCTACTCCGACACAACCCAAACATACACGGCGTGACCGTCGGACACACGGAACAAAAACTCAACTTTTTTGAGGATGATTTTCTTCTCACAATCTCTCAGCCCCATATCTCTATCCCAAACTTAATTTTGATGCTAGACTCCTTCGCACAAGTTTCTAACCTCTCCATTAATAAAGAAAAATCACTAGCCCTCAACGTGTCCCTGACACAAGACATGGTAGATGCCGTGCGGAGGAACTTCACGTTCACCTGGCGTTCATCTCACCTGGAATATCTGGGGATACTGCTGACCACAGACTATTGCACCCTTTACAAAACTAATTACACCCCCCTCTTCAAAAAACTAACGGAACTAATGACTACCTGGGCCCGGCACACCCTATCCTGGATAGGACGACTCAATGCTGTCAAGATGACTATCCTGCCAAAAATACTGTACCTATTTAGGACTTTGCCGGTTGCGATTCCGGGAAAAGCCTTACACGCATTTCAGAAAAAAGTCCTCATTTACTTGGGGTAACACCAGACACAGAATCTCAAAATACACTATGTGCACCCATAAGAAACAAGAAGGCCTAGGCCTCCCAAACTTCCGCAAATATTTCCAGGCAGCTCAGATAGCCCCCATAACTAATTTATACATATCTCCACTAGGGCCAACATGGGTGGATCTGGAGAGTGTGTATTGCGCCCTGACTTCAGTCAAAGCTCTCCCATGGCTCCCCCCGAATGCAAGGCCAAAAACTCTTACTCCTGTGATGAACCATACCCTCCGTGTGTGGGATCACATCAAACACCAGGGTAAATTAATTTACCCCCATCTTCCATTATTACCGATAATTGGCAATCCACTCTTCACCCCGGGGATGGAGTCGCCTGGAGCGTTCACCTGGTGGACGTCTCAAAATATTCTATACCTACACAACATATTGCGCAACGGGCAGATGCGCAGTTGGGATTCCATGAAGGCAGATTCGCACGCGCCCCCCTCCGAATTCTTTAGATACCTGCAAATCAGACACTGGTCGGTGTCTCTACTCGCTGGCAGGGTGCCCACCACTCAGCTCTCCCTAATGGAACATATATGCTACCATACACCTTTACAACCTAAATTGATATCCATATTGTACTCTCAACTCAACTCAGCTCCTAACAAATATGCCCATAAATATGTCCTGGCTTGGGAAAAAGATTTAAACAGGACCATACCCAACTTAGATTGGCAACAAATCTGGGCCTCGGCTGCATCGTGCTCCATCAACATCACCTCACTAGAGTCAGCATACAAATCTATGATGAGGTGGTACATGGTGCCGGCTCGATTGGCGCCTTCTCATCCTCAGCAATCGGCTAAATGTTTCAGAGGCTGTGAGGCGAAGGGAGACGTGATGCACATCTGGTGGACATGCCCGTTTGTACATACCGTAGATTTTGGATTAAAACATTTAGACTAATAAACACAATCCTCCAAACGAATATCCGCACAGACCCACGGTTCGCCCTGTTACATCTTAAACCCCTGAATATCACGAAGTCTGAACATAAATTGTTTTTTTTCACATTCCTGGCTGCAAAACAAACCATAGCGCAGGCATGGAGAAAACAGCAAATCCCCTTTGGCGGGGTTAGCCGTAGACTGGACTCATTTTTCATTAATGAAAAGCTGTCCAGTATACTGATGGATACACAAAATAAATTCCGGAAGGTCTGGGATCCCTGGTTAGGACATGCACACCCGGCTATCCCTCACACAAGCCTGACGACAATCTGATAGGATATCATTGACTGGAGGAACTACCCCGCTGCCGCACACTCCCCCCTCCCCTACCTCTCTTGCGCTGTTCTTTCATTTCCCCTCCTACTACTTCACCTCTGGCTTTCTTGCCCTTTTGTTATGCGCCCCAGGGTGCTGGAATCACTTAGTTCGATCTCTACTGTAATGGTGATTTATACTGTGTCTTAAACTTGCAACTGTATTATTTTCAAGTTTTTTCTTTGATGAACAAATACAAAATTATTGTAAAAAAAAAAACACTGACAGACACAACCACAGACACATTCTTACACACTCAGACAGTCTCACACACACATACACACTCCACAAAAATTTTTAAGTGTTCAGTGTGGGCTGCTGTGCTGTGACAGGGCTCCATCCATACATGCATTGCTTGTACAGCTCCCTTGTACTCCTTGTAGAGGTGCCGGGAGCCAGAATGTGACATCATGTGAGGGAGCTGTAAGCAATGCACGCATGGATGGAGCAACTTTGCGGCCCCCTCAAGCCCAGCCCAACTTAAGCTGACACTCGGCGCCAGGCAGTATATTTTGAATGGCTGCTCGACATGAGAACTGACAGTGCTGCGCAATGCGGGAGGCTGAGGAGCCTCTCACCTAGTGCAGTGAAAGGCATGCGGCGACCCACTGAACATGGAGTCGCGACCCACTTTTGGGTCACGACCCACCAGTTGAGAACCACGGTTCTACACTGTAGTAATACACAGAAGTTAAGTTAATTTGCAAGACTTTAATGCAAAAACATTTTTTGTATAATCATTTATATTTGGGACCATGCAAAAATGTAGGATTTATTTTCTTTGAAAGTATTCAATATATAGTTTAATACCGTGTTTCCCCGAAAATAAGACACTGTCTTATATTTTTTTTTTCAACGAAAAAAGACACTAGGTCTTATTTTCGGGAGATATCTTATATTTACCTGTGTAAATACAGGGATATCTTATATTTACCTGTGTAAAGACCAGCTGCGGCTGGTCTTCACATTTAAAATTCTATTATATGTGCAGCTACCCCGAAAGTAAGACCTAGCGGATCTCTGTAATATAAGACCTACCACCGAACTAGGTCTTATTTTCGGGGTAGGTCTTATATTATAGAAATCCCTGAAGATAGCGCTAGGTCTTATTTTCGGGGTAGGTCTTACTTTCGGGGAAACACGGTATGTGAGCAGCGTCTGAGAATGAATAGTTTTCCTGGAATCTGTGAATACACGAGACTCTCCTTTAAGTATAGAGAAGTGGATAATGGATCATGAACTGGATAATGTTCATTTGCAAATACAGAGTGCTGAGCTTGGATGGCTGCCTCCCCTATTGTTTTAGATTTTCTGTATTTGTTCAGGTAAATATGAATACCAAGCTACTATCCTGGAACATACTTCAACCTTTCCCCCTGTTTCTCCTACCCCATACCTCTAGGTAGGTGTCCCCTATTTTGCACACAGCCTGCTTAATTGAGAAAGCTATATTTATACAGCAGAGATGGGCAGCGTGTCACTTTTGCTAGAATTACCTTTTAATAACTGACAGTTTTGAACCGGTCTGTTTCTCGTCTACTGCTTCAGTTACTTCAGCACGCCTGGTACTACTGTTATTGGATACTATTTAAATACCATACAAACACAAGTTTTAAATGCATTTTCAAACCATTCTCTTATCATATACCTTTTTTTGTTTTGTTCATTGCCTGCATCTCTTTTATGAAGTATCGCTTTTGATCTTGAAATTTTTGGATGGGGACGTTCTATTGTCATATTAGCAGCAATCACCCTACATGAAAAAAAGAGTTAGACTTGCTGGTAAATCTATTTCATGAGTCTTCCAGGACAGTACATGAGATATAGGCACCCTTCCCACCAGAAAAGGAAACATATGACCAATAAACACTTTAAAAGAACTGTCCTTCTGCCAAACTGGTCAGAAGATAAGAACAATAAACTGACTAACACAAATACAACAGCTGTTTGGCTGTAGCAAAGCATAGGGTTAACCCTTTTGCTGACGAGGCCTTTTTTGCATTTCTAGCACAAATCTACATTTTAGGCCTGAAAATTACTTAAAACCCCCAAACATTATATACTTGTTCTGAAAGCCAAGACCCTGTAGAATAAAATGGTGGTAGTTGCAAATTTTATGTTGCACGTATTGGCGCAACAAAATTTTGTAAAGAATACACAAGTTAATTTTAGTGGTCAAAAACACAATATAATACCCATTTTTTTTAAAATATACAAGATGAGGTTACAAGGAGGAAATAGATACCCAACATGCAGAGGTTACAAATTGCATGCGTCTGTGAAACGGCGACAAATACGGTAAATTGTCCAGAGGCGATGCTTTAAAAGCCCCTACAGGTCATCAGTTTAGAGATATCTGTGAATATTGGCTCTACAAGTGTGTTTACGATAATTTTTTTTTTTAGTTTGACATTTATTTTAAACTTTTTTTTTTACATTACTCACTTGCTATCACATAAGGGGGCTTGCAAGTGACAGGTAGCCTTTAAGGTGACATTAGGGGTCAATTAGACCCCTAATGTCACCTTTTCAATCCAAATAAGCTATTGGAGTGCAGATCACGCTCCACTCCAATATCTTATTACCTGGCTTCAGCAGCATTGCTTCCGGTCCCATACAGTGGGGAGGAGATCGGTGAATGGATGGGCCTGCTGGAGGGATAGCAGAGCCCGGGAAGTAAGGTGGGGGTGTCGGGCGGGGGAAGGGGCTCACTGCACTGGCACTGGAAGTTATCTGTCGGCAACTCAGTCGCCAGAATCACTTCCATTGTAGAGGCAAAAGGTGTCTTTACAAATGTAAACATAGCTATAGAGCCTCTATGACTAAGCCCTAGATTGGGTGAAATATGTCAGAGGGGGTGGACCTCAGACAGGACTCAGTGTCACTGACGAATTTTCAATAAACAAATTCAGCATGGAACGGAGTGCAGCCGGATTCTTCCTTTACTATATACCTGTTTGGCTGCAGTCACTGTTCAGTCGACAATTTTCGTCTCAGCTCCTATGACAAACGCTGCTCAAGTAATCGACTTTTGTGAAGCCAGCAGCGTCATCCACTGTTAGAATTTCAGCTGATGCCTGTGAAACGGCCAAAGGTCTAACAGTGCATGGGGAGCTTAACTCTGGATTTCGCAAATTGTCTTTCATGATAGCCCATGAGAGGATTAGCAAGAACTTACCAGATTTATGGAAAAACAAAAGGCTGTAGAGCTTTCCTCCCACCAGGCTGAACATAAGAATTACAGGTATGGTGGGTCCAGGTATAAGTACCTCTAAACAGAGAGACATAAACTATGCACCAAGCTATGGTGCATTGGGAGGATAGTTATATCTGGAACAATATTCCCTTTGCCTGCAATATAGTTTTTTTAATGCTTGCTATATTGATGACATACTTATTATAAGGGATGTCCTATTAATACCACTCCCCTTTTGTCCACTATTGTAACAATAACACGTTTGTATTATCTTTTATTTATGTGGCTAATTCAGATAAATTCTTATCTCATTATCTCTCATTTCTTTATTTGGAGCTAGGCCATAAGAACACTTACATCAATACAAAAACGCATTTTAAGACCACACGTGGAAATTCCTATTTGCATTTTCAAAGTTCTCACCACCCGTTATAGAAAAGAAACATCCCCAAGAGCCAGTAAAGACTGAAGATAACTGTTCCAAAAGATGTAGATTTTATAGCACAAGATAAAATACTAGAGAAAAGATTTTGAGATAAAGGATATTCTCCAGAAAAAAAAATTAAAAAAGCATAAAAGCAATTTCTTGAAGCCCTGGCCCAAACCAGACAAAAAATGAAGATCTAGACTCTCATGGGGTGCGTTTAGTTACTCAGTTAAATTACTGTTCTAAAACTGTCGAGTAAGTTATCAATAGAAATTGGAATATCTTCCTTTAGGACCTGAAGTTGGGCAAAGTACTTACTGAAAACACCCAAATAGTTTTCAGAAAAGGTCAGGATAATAAAGCTAAGAATGCACCCTGTAAAAAATCTGTTGGGTGATCCAATACCTTATGCCCTTATAGCTTTGAAATATGGTTTATATTAATATAGAAAATTGAGGTTTCTAACATGCCAGTATATTAAGGACGGTTGCAAACATTTTCTGGATAGCAAAGGGCAATCCTACCTGACCAGGCACTTTATATAATTGTTGTAGTGACTAGATAGTCTATGGGTTGAGGTGCATTTTGGTTTGTTATATAAATAGGCCACATAAAGAGACCACAACCTAGTAGAATTGTAGACCACAGAAGGAATATCATGAAGGTTCTACTGGACCACAGTTACCCACGTAATTTTGTCTTTAAAAGAGGACTAAAGCCACACCTTTTTTTGGCTTTAGTCCTCTTTTGGGTCAAAGGAATACATTTACTAATGTACTCTTGTGACCAAAAGTCAGCATCTAGTGGGCTATTGCCCACTATTTGCTGACAGCTCAGAGTGCCACTGCAGCTGGGAAAGATCCCAATGATATTGTCAGGATCCATCCAACTGCCTGATTGACAACTGATTCTGCCTCTCTAGAGCCAGAGCCAGCTGTGCCTGTCCCACCTCTGTCTTTCTCTCCAATGGGCACTGGAGAAACAGAGAGGGGAGGGGGGAATCCATGTGAGGAGCACCGAATAGCAGTCACTACTCTCTGCAGGGAGAAGACTGTGAGCTGAGTGATCGGTAGTTTGTGAACATCCAGCTCTCAATCTATAAAGTTGGCATGTGATACCTGCCCTCACGGTTCAGAACTCTGACATCATCAAAGTTATATTCCACCCACTCCTGATCCTGATTATTGTATTGCATTAATGGCGATCTCATTAACGGTAAGTGTAAATCAGGAAGAGCTGCTTCATGATAATTTTCAGCCTCTCTCGAAATCTCACCGCACTGTAGAATGGAATAAAAAGTGGGTAAAGAGGTGAAAGATAAGCTGTAACATGCCTACTGCAAAGGCTATATAATTTACTACTGAAATGTCACACTGAGGTTGCCTGAATCTTCTTTAAAGTGATTTAGTGAAAAGTTTTGACAGCCAGGCTTTTTTTAATAAGAATTTATGTCTCTTCTGTCATGTAAATTTTGTTTCATTCCAAATGGATATTTGTACAAATTTCATTAAATTTGGACATTTAGATGCATCCAAATTCTAACGCATACAAATGAACCCGAATGTTCGTTTAAAATTCTGAAAATGGCTGTTGGGGGTTGCATTACAGGCATGGTCATGTGACTTTGTTCCAAAACGGCTGAAAATTCGGCTGGATCCGAAATCCGAATAACAAACCGAGTCAAATTTCGGATTCAAAATCCGAAAAATGAAAGAAATAAAAATCCAAAATGATCCGAAATTAAACACATTTTTTACAGGGTTACATACTTGCCTGTCAACACTTTTTCTCTGTTAGTGTAAACTCAGCCACACATGTGCAAGTTCATGTACAGTCTCAGCATGATTCTGTGTTGGGACTAAGTAACTTTGGGTAATAATGTCAGCCAGCATCATTTGAAATTTGTTTCAATTCAGGTGTCAGCCAGGGAATATCCTGGCCAACAGCTGAATGGGGTAAGAGATAAGTGACTGGTTGCTAAGATGCTGCATAGCCAACAGCATCTTAGCGACAAACAATGCTTACAGCGTGCAGAACAATTAGGAACTCTGGGACACTATTTACCCATTCTATGTTGCTGAAGAAATTTAGGTAATGTCTTGCAATGTCTTGTTAGGGCCCATTGATGTCATTGTGTTCATTTTTTATATCCAATATGTCTCCTAAAAGTAATTTTTTTTTACTGATTGCATCATTCACATTAAACTGTACTAATAACTGTAATAGTTTATTGTGCTGAAGCATCTATGTCATCAGGCAGCAATGTGGACTCTTCCCGTTATTCTTTGTTCCAGAAGACTCCATCAGCAGTGTGGTGATGATACAATGAGGAGTAACGACAAAACGATCAGCGGTGGGCCTAGACTGCAGTGTTGGAACACCGATCTTTACTAATAGAAGAGGCGCCTGTGAGGGTCACATGGTGGCAGATTCGAGAAATAAAAATAGGGCTTTGAAGGACATTTTTTAAATGGTGATTGGATAGGATGTGTTACGGTTGGGAGAGGCAGAGATTGAAAGTGACAAAATACTTGTCATTTCTGGCTTAATTTGCTTATCGTGCTCTGCTCTCCCCGCCAACACCCACCATGCCAGTTCTGGGCCCACAGGAGTGGCAGTGGAGCTCAGAATACATTTCACAGGGGGAAGGGGGGAAGGATGGGGGAGGCAGCACCTTTGGGATGGGGGGAGGGTAGAAGTGATTGGGCACTCTACAGCCAGCTTGTGACATGTAAACCCACTGCTAAGTAGCAGTTGGGAGTGTGCTTGAAAGCATAAACTGCTGCCACCGAAATCCTTACACTTGTGGTAATGAAATGATTAATGCACATGGACTGGGAAGATTCACCCACAGTGAATATTTGGTGAATATTCATTGCTAAACAAATAAACCCCGTATCTTGCATTGTGAGAAGATACAGCAAAGTAGAACTATTGTGTAATGTTGCAGAGAAGGATGTTTTAAAGGAAACATGATTGCCCCAGAGCATTAAAAAGTATATAATGACAAACTATTCATGCAAACGAGGCTTTTAAAATATTGATTAGACATTGGTTAGATTTACATAAACCATCAAAGAAGAGCGGGGCTTTAAAAGTTCCAAAAAATACTCTGTTGCATCATTAGATTAAATATTCTATTATGATTAAAATATCGATAACCATCACTAAAAACTATTGAATAAGAAAAAAACAGATCCAATCAGTGCCAATGTTTTGGCACCTTTAAAGCTCCACATTTCTTTGATGGCTGGAGTTTACAATTGTAAGGGGTGTGGTGCAATAATGTATTCTCCTGTGACACCCAACAATTGACATTAGATTTTACATAAAACCATTTACATGTACATTCTTTTTTTAAAGACAAGAGAGGTTAGTAATGCAGAGTTCAGGGATCAGGAGTAAGTAACACAGCATTCAGGGGTCAGGAATAAGTAATGCAGAGGTCAGAAGTAAGTAATAGTGCGTTTAGGGGGTCAGTAGTAAGTAATACATTGTTCAAGAGTCAGTAGTAAGCAATTCAGAGTTTAGGGGGTCAGGCATAAGTAAGGAAGAGTGCAGAGATCAGGAGCAAGGAACTCAAAGTGTAGGGGTGGGAGAAAGTAACAGAATGCAGAGGCCAGGAGTAAGTAATGTAGTATTCTAAATTCAGCAATAATGCTTAGAGAAGGGGTCAGGAAATAGTAACACAGAGTGCAGAGGTCATGAGTAAATAAAGATTGTGAAGATCAGGAGTACGTAATGCAGTGTATAGAGGTTAAGAGTAACACAGTGTTTAGATGTCAGTAGTAAGTAACACAGGGAGCAGGAGTAACTAATGCAGAGTGCAGAGGTCAAGAGAAAGTAATGCAGAGGTCAGCCGTAACGCATTGTATGGAGGTCAGTAGTAACAGTATGCAGGAACCAGGAGAATATAACACAGTGTTTGGAGGTCAGTAGTAAGTAAAGCAGAGTGCAGAGGTCAGGAGTAACTAACGCAGTGTTAGGAGGTCTGTAGTAAGTAACGCAGAGTAGAGGTTTCAGAAGTTAGTAAAGCAGACTGCAGAGGTCAGGAGTAAATGATGGGGAGTGCAGGGGTCAGGAGTAAGTAACGCAGAGGTCAGGCGTAAATAATGCAATTTTTAAAGGTCAGTTGTAAGCAACAAAGAGTGCAGGGGTTAGGAGTAAGTAATAAAGAGTCCAGGAGTAAGTAACAGAGTGTTTGAATCAGGAGTAACACAGAGTGCAGAGGTCAGGTGTAAGAAACGCAGAGTTCAGTGGTCAGGCGTAAGTAACTAGTTGTTCAGAAGTCAGAACTAAAAAACCTGGTGTTCATGGGTTAGGAGTAAGTGACACAGTATTCAGGAGTAAGTAACAGAGTCCAGAGGTTAGGAGTAACTAACTAATAGTGCAGGGTTCAGTATCTATCAAAGAAACCTTAGTGTCACTTGAACAGATTTATAAATCTGTTCAAACACCTTAAAACTTGCAGTCTCATTGTTCTATTACAGTATTCTATATAACTTTGGACACCTCGAACTATTGCCTGTTTCACTCTTTTCCTGCAGGTGCCACAGCTCTCCTTACACCAACCTCTAGAGAATTCTGCAACAGACATAACCTTCGATAGCCCTTTGTGTCATGGTCATAGGTTACTCTTATTTTAACTTTTTGCCATTCTCTCGGTAGTATGGTGAACTCCTGCCTGTAAAGCCAGACAGGCCGAACAAAAATCACATAGGGGCAGCTTCCTTTAATTCCAAAAACAAACACTTTATTGAGGAGCGCAACTACCTAAAATCACTTTGGTGAACACATGGGCTGAACACTGCTTGTACAGTAATGTTGGGACATGTGTATGTCAAATATGAGTGTAGAACACCAACCTATAACTGGCCCTATAGGATAGAAAAGATGTTGACTTACAGTTATGATGTGGGAAAATGTGCCCAGAAATCTCTCCCGGGGTTCACTTCAGAATCTATTGGTCGGGTCCTTCTAGCTGGCAGGTGAGAGGTGAATGGCTGGAAAAGAGCTTGGCTAACTGGCTTGTTCCCTCCAATTGTCAATGTTCGGCTGGTCTAAAGCAAGTCTGCAATGGTGAGGCAGCCTGCGTACTCGGCTGGCCAGGTCGGGCCGCGACGGCTGGGATGGGGAGAGTGTAAGGGAGAGAGCGAGGAGCCGCAAACAGCACTGAGGCGCCTGGTGCCGTGTGTATTAGCGATGCAGTTGGGCTGCTGTCTAGAGGTGTCCGGTAGTCTCGTAATCAGCTTTGCACACCACCAGTAGTCAACCTTCAGAGTTGTGTCTGCTCTACAGGAGTGCGCTCTAAATATTGTGTTTACCATTGCTATCCTTTAATTGATGGTTCTGTATTCACTGCACTCAGGGACATTTCTGGAGACATTTGCTTCCTGGGGACAGACCCCCTCAGAAAGGGGACTGTCCACAAGAAACAGACAAATGGTGCCCATACCACATTAGATGTAAATTATTCAGCAGGGGAGCACAGCAGGCATAAATATGTCTTCAATGTATGCTGTCATCTTGTTGGCATTTGTCTGCAATTTAACAGGGGGCATTAGACATCACATAAAATCTCAGGAGCCATCATATGTTTAGGGTGGGCTATTTCTTAGGAGAGAGGCTTGCATGCTGCTGAAAATAGGTCTTGCCACAGAAAAAAAAAAACCAATGTCATTGAGTTGTCTCCAACTCATTGAGGTAAATTTATTAAGACTGGGGCAGACAGAATCTGGAGCAAGTGTGCATTGCAACTAATCAGCTTTTATTTTCAAAGCTTGATTGAACAAGCTGAAGCTAGAAGCTGATTGGTTACTATGCACAGCTGCTCCAGTTTTAGTAAATCCTCCCATTGAATCATTGTACACCTGTGAGCAGTCCACTTTATTACCTCTCCTCTATCTATCACCTGACTGGACAGATGGAGTCTGCTACATACAGCAATCTCCTCCTAGACACATCTTAAAAAAGGACTGACAAGAATGACATCAAATAAGCACTCTAAAGAACTCAAACCTCTAAAATACAAAATTAAGTTACCCTTTACTTTACATATATACAATTGGTAGATTATCTGACAACTAATCCATTAACAACTGCCTCTTGTATGAATAGTACACCAATAGGCAAGATGGGACGTTCAGCCACTTGATGGTGACATCTGTACCCTCCAAACAATATGCTCATAGTTGTGTTTATATTTAAGGAACTCATAGATATTAGACCCTTGTAGCCAGATCTGATTAATTTAGCTTGATCGGGAAACACATGGGATATCTTTGGGATGCAGTGACATCTGGCCACATTTATTGCCTTTAGGGTACGTTCACACCAGATGCAGTGTGTTCTGGTCCGATTCTGGCCAGAACGCACTGCATCACATTGCGGCCGGCTCACTTTTTTGTGGGGCAGGAGGGGGGCGTGGCGGCCATTGAAGTGAATGTCACCGTAGCCGCAATGCGATCGGCCGCACGGGATCGCAAGGCACATTGTACCTGCGGTCAAAATGCTTCAATGTGCCTTGTGATCCCGTGCGGGCGATCGCATTGCGGCCCGATGAAATAGTGAGCCGGCCGCAATGCGATGCTGTGCGTTCTGGCCAGAATCGGCCTGAATGCAGTGCAACTGGTGTGAACGGGCCCTAAATGCCCCCTCCGCTCCTCCCAAGACCTCCTGCTCTCTAGCTCCTTCATCAACTCCTCACATGCTCACCTCCAGGATTTCACTAGAGTCTCTCCCATCCTTTGCATCCCCTTACCCTAACCTTTCCGGCTATCTCCTACTCTGTCTGCCTTTAGGCAATCGTTAAAGACTCATGTCTTCACGGAAGCCTATCTCTCCTCAACCTAAACGCTGAACTATCACTTTCTCAAAAATGTATCCCCACGCAGCTACCACCTCTTTGTATCACTTGCCTTTTTAGGTTGTAAGCTCTCACAAGCAGGGCCCTCCTTATCATCTTGTCTTGATTTGTGTTGTAGCTGTAATGTTTTCCTTATATTGTAAAACGCTGTGCAAACTGCTGGCACTATATAAATCCTGTACAATAACAACAACAACAATAATAGTAATAATATATAAGCAGGTGTTTGGGCTCTTTTGAACCTCAGAAATGTCTGATTCCACCCTTGAGCAATAGTTTGAGTTATCAGTTTAAAACATATTTTCACTTTGAGATGAAGCTTCTCTTTGGCTAACCACTTTATACTTTCACAAACAAGAATAATTATAAACTAAAATGGCACTAGTCTTCAATGAAAAGCTGTAAAATAAACATTTTTCGCCGTTGAGATCTTCGGTCAGGAGAAGAGGAGAGACACAAGGTAAGTCAATGCAGCAGCGTGCACATGCACAGACTCCATGGGACAGGAAGTGCCAGGAAGAGAGAGGAGTCAGCGCCGGATCAGAGACGGGGACCAGCGCTGGAGGAACTCCTGAAAACTACTGGAAAGAAGAAGATGATCGGATCAAGAGGCATCATTAAGGTAAGACCTTATACTAGCATGGGGGGGACTTTTGCCTTTAATGTCACCTTAAGAAATATTTATTTTCTTTGTTGGATTTTTACAGGCAATATTTGTTGTTCTAGTAAAGACATTATTATTGATACATAGATTTTATCTGTAATATTATATTGCAAACCTTTGATACAGTTCATCGTCTTCTAAGCAGAAATGTCTTTGACTGCAAATAACTATTAAGAATTCTGCGCTGTCCCTAAACTAAAAAGATCCTAATAATTTACTTGTAGCTGCCAACACTAAAATGAAATGTGTTCATTCAAATAAATAAAAAAACCTGGAGAGACCTATATTTTGGAACAAGTGCTTCCTGACCTTGTCACAAAAAGGTCCATCCATTCAGGAGAAGGATTTCACTTCTATCAACCTTCACCCGGAGATGCCTATATTTGCAGGGCCGGAGTAAGAGCATCACGGGCCTGGTGCTGGGGATTTTGGTGGGTCTTTTTATGGAAATGTCGATGGTCACCAGGGTCCTCTTCGTCCTGTCCAGGCTGTGATTTGTAGTCTCTCTACAGCTTGGAGTCAGTGGTGGAGCGCTAGGGCCCAGCTGCAGATGTGAGCCTGAAAAATCTGCCACTGATGCCAAGTTGTAGAGAGACTACAAAAGTCAGCAATACATTATACAGCAATGCAGAATACCACCAACTATAGAGGACTACAAATCCCAGTAATACATTATACAGCAATGCAGAATACCGCCAACTATAGAGGACTACAAATCCCAGCAACAAATTACACAGCAATGCAATATACTGCCAACTATAGAGGACTGCAAATCCCAGTAATGCATTACACAGCAATGCAGAATACCACCAACTGTAGAGGACTACAAATCCCAGCAATACATTGTTAAGCACTGCAGAATAATACCATCAGCTATAGATGGTATTAGCCTAGCCATACTTTATACAGCAATGCAGAATACTATGAAGCTACATACTCTGTGTTGCTCCAGGTTCACTGCCTGATGTCTCCAGGGTCACAGGAGGGCTGTGCGGGGTTTCAGGGGGGCTGTGCAGGAACTCAGGAGGCTGGTCAGGCTCAAAGGTGGCCAGTGTGGACTCTCTGGTGGTCAGTGGGGCTCTATGGTGGTCTGTGCGGGCTCTGGGTGGTCAGTGCGGGCTCTGGGTGGTCAGTGCGGGCTCTAGGTGGTCAGTGTGGGCTCTAGGTGGTCAGTGCGGACTCTGGGCAGTCAGTGCGGACTCTGGGCGGTCAATGCAGACTCTGGCTGGTCAGTGTAGGGTCCGGATGGTCAGTGACGGTTATGGGTGCTCAATGCGGGCCAGAATAGGGGCCTAAGTTATTCCTACGGCCCCTATTCTGCTGATCTTCCAGGTGGTAGGAGAGAGATCTCTGGGCGTAGGTTAACAAGTCGACCTGGGATTGAAGGGCTGGGATTGCTTTAACATGGGAGTCTAAGTGGCTCTCACCATCCTCCACTCGGTGGCGACATCTTGTCGCCCCTGAGCGACAAGATGTCCGACTTCAGGGATTATTTGAAGCGGGTGAACATTTCAAAAAGTTAATTTTTAGTTGGGAGCGCTCTCCCCAATTCATCCATAGGAGATGGCAAAGGGTGTTTGTGTCCGACTCGGATCTAGGAAAGGGCAAGTCCTTGTCCCGTTCCTGTGGGGACGATCTGGAAGAGAGGCCGGAGCGGGAAGGAGGGCCTTGTGGCTGGGTTGGAGTGTCAGCAGGGGTCACGCATGCATGGCGTCATGTAACATCATGCTCCCTGCCTCCCAAGATGGTGGCACGCATTCACAGAACATGCCAGTGGCCAAAATGGCCGCCGCACATTCTCAAACTAATTATTATTATGTGCCTGAATACATTTTTCGTATATTCAGACATATAGTAATTCATTAATTTTACATGTAGTCTAGGTTTTGCATTCTGTTTTCTATTTTTACTTTTCTAGATGCACTTACTTGAAAAAAAGGGGTCTACATGACATCCTGACATTTTATTTTTATAGACTCTATTGTAGTTTGACATTTATTATTTGCCTTCTGTTGTTTTATTTGATAAGAATACTTATATTGTGCTACAAGTTTAATACCTTTGAATAAAAGTTTTATTTTTATCATACTTTTTAATGTTTCTTTGCGGCTTAACAAAATAGGAGTCTTTAAATAATGGTGCGGATATTGGGGAAAATGGGTGTGGTTAAGGAGTGGGGGGTGGTCACTAAAGGGTGTGGCCACTGAGGGGTGTGGTCACTGAGGGGCGCTGTAAGGCTTTCTCGCACAGGGCGCCTAAAGGCCTAAGTGGCCGGCACTGAGTGTCACCCACTAGATAACGCTTGATCGTGCCCGCGGCTTGGGTTTTTGAGGTCTCCGGGCGGGCTGACTTCTTCCCCATTGTAGTCGGTAAGGTGCAAGTTGAAATCGAGTAGTCGGGATGTCTTTTTTGCGGGTGGGTGGCACGGAGCTCACATTAAGCACGACTTGCCACCATCGAGGTGAGGGCACGCCCCCCAAGTGAGAAATATTCTTGACTGGATGCATGTGGATATATTGCATGAGAAAATAAAAATGTTTATAGTTAAACTCCCTTTTTTGTATTTTCTTTGTCAATGCATATAGCTCAATGTTTTTAACAAAGTATATATATGTTTTTAGAACTAATGTGAGCCTGTTGCTTTACCCTTTGCGGCTAAATTAAATAAGCTAAAATACATCATTATCTGTTTTCCATTCAGATAAAAGCGTCCAAAAGACTGGACGCTTTACTCTAACTCTCACGATTCGTTTTCCCGGATCGATCATTTCTTTCTATTACATACCACCCTTCCCTCAGTGGTGGACTCGAGTATAATTCTGTTCTCTTGGTCTGACCACCACGGGGTGACTCTGTCTGTGTCCTCTCTTTCATCAGAACAAACTGATCTTTGCTGGATCATGAATGACTCCCTTCTATCGGATAGCATCGCGCAAAGGACTATACACGATGCTCTCCAGGAATATATCTCATATAATAAAACTCCAGATGTTTCCCCTACGACAATATGGGAAGCTCATAAACTGGTCCCGCACAGTCATTTTGGTATCACCCCCTATGAAAAGTCGGGCACTCGGTCACAGACTGAGAGCCCGACAGTGTCAGGAGAAAGGAGGGGACCCAGTGGCATACCTCATCCTGCCATGTGAACGTACCCTCCTCTCTCTATAGGCGTCCATCACCAAGATGGCTGCCGGCAGGCGTTAATAAGACAACCCGCGCATGCACGATGACGTCACAACGTCTCCGCTCCGGGTGTCACCCAGCCTCGGGATGCCCCTGTATGAGACTAGACTTTCAGGAGGCCTGAGTGTACCTAATCTGCAAAAATGTTACTATGCTGCCCAAATAGCGTCTATAGCTAAATACCACGCCAATATAAAAGTTCCCATATGGGTATCGATCAAGGCACTAAATTGTGATTCATACACTATAGATAACCTTATGTGGATGCTTCCCAAAGAGGGAGCCACCCTTACTAATCCTATCACTTGACACTTTCTCAGACTTTGGGATGCTTCTAAATACTCTAGTGGCTTCCTCTCACCCCATCTTTTCATGCTCTCGATTTTTCACCATCCTGCTTTCCATCCAGCATTTGATTCTCCTGCCGCATTTCACAAATGGTGTGAAAAAGGTATCAATCACTTTCATTTTCTTTGTAACAGTAATAATATACTGCCTTTCCCAGACCTGCAATCAAAATACAACCTTCCCTCTTCGGAGCTTTTCCGCTACCTACAAATAAAAAGCTTTATATACTCTAGAATTAAACTCTCCACAAATTTATTGTCCATGTCTCCATTTGAAAAGGTGTGTAAAAAAGATCCTCACTCCCCTGGTCATATCTCGTTACTCTATACGCACTCCTTACAACATGCTCACCCACCACATCACTCCTATATGGACCGCTGGCAGAAGGATCTAGACCTTGTGATCGTTGAGGAAACATGGTCTCAGATATAGACCTCCACTAACTTATGCTCAATGAGCGCTAGAGTACTATAAACAAACTATAAAGTACTCCTTGGTATACAGTGCCTATTCAGGTCACACATTTTGTGTCCGACTGTGATGGTAACTGTTTTTGTGGTTGCCCTGACAGTGGTACCTATTTGCATGTGTGGTGGACATGTCCTATCATACAAATTTACTGGACTAAAATTTTCAGAAAGATATCTACTCTTATGGATGTGCCTGTACCCCCTCCTACTCCTCAAACAGCATTACTCAATGCTACACCTGCTCTCAAATTTAAACTAATGATACATGTTCTTTCAGCTACCAAATATAACATAGCTGGTTTCCTTAATGAAACCGGCTTTATTAGTGGTACTAAAAACAGAATCCACTGGATTTTTTCAAATGAAAAACCTTCCGCCCGTTTAAATGATAACATGATAAAATGTGAGAAAATATGGGATCCCTGGGTGAAGCACTTCCTCCTACCATCCTTTGACACCCGCTTACTTGCCCTCTAGGTAATCGAACCCTCTATTTTTGTATCGATCAAGCCACGTGACAGACTGAGCGCCATGCCTCTTTATTCTTCCTTTCTTTTTTTTCTTCTCCCTTTCCTTTCTGAACCCAACAGACGTAATTTTTTGGTTTATTGTTGATATTTGAACCCACCCCTTTTAATTTATGTCAGACAATTTGCTTATAGCAATACTTGATATCCACCCCCTTTTTACTACTAATATGTGCCTTTTACATCATATGGCATTAACAATTTCTGTACTGGATATGTTGCTTTTGCATGTATCATTGTGTATGTACACACACAGTTGTGATTTTGTAAACTGTTCATTTTAAATTTAATGAAAAATTATTGAAACTAAAAAGACTGGACCCAATTACCTGAATTTAAACTTGTCCAAAGCATGTGCCATATGTTTGGGGTTTTCAGAGCACCTGTAGAGATTCCTCTGATCCATTGGAATATCAACATCGCTGAAGATGAAGCAGTTATAATCATATTCTTGTATGGCTTCTGAATAGCCAACATTCATCAATTTGGCTCTGTTGAATTTTGATTCGCCATGCTGTTAACATCAATCGGATATCATCATTAACTGTTAACATTTATTTTTTTTATACATATATTTATTTGTTATGACAAAATGTGCTTTACTATTTACCATCTTAGCCACAGCAGACTAGCAAATCACTGCAATCATATACCATACTGTGGTGAGGATTAAAGCCCAGGATCCACAGCACTGTGGGCTTAATGCAGCAATGCACACTGAAAATGAATTAGCAGGAAAGCAACATGTTCCCCATAATCTACCTGTTATATTTTCAATGCAGTATGGGAAGAGGAAAGGGAAAAGCTGTGTAGCCCCAAATGGGTTGTTACGGAATCAGCTATAATTCTGCTTGTAAATAGTTAACGGACACTGTGCAGCCTGTGATACAGAGAGATTTATGGAAGTTAAGGGGGGCTACAGGAGGAGATCGTGCTGTGAAGGGCTGCGAACACTACGATTCCCAGAAGGCTGTGTTCTGGAAGAGGAGGAATGGGCTGGGCTGGAAGTTCCGGAGCGCGCTCAGTCCGCGGAGAGTCAGCTAACTGGACCGATCTGTGATTATTACTGACGCTGGCTCAGGAGAGCATGAGACTCTGCATGGAGATGTGTAAGGCAGTGTCCTCACTCTAGACAGTGCCCGCCTTAGGCCTTTAGTCGCCCTGTGCGAGAAAGCTTTACAGCGCCCTCAGTGACCACACCCCTCAGTGGCCACCCTCCCGTAACCACACCCATTTCCCCCAATATCCGCACCATTATTTAAAGACTCCTATTTTGTTAAGCCGCAAAGAAACATATTAAAAAAGTATGATAAAAATTAAACTTTCATTCAAAGATATTAAACTTGTCGGCACAATATAAGTATTCTTATTAAATAAAACAACAGAAGGCAAATAATAAATGTCAAACTACAATAGAGTCTATAAAAATGAAATGTCAGGATGTCATGTAGACCCCTTTTTACAAGTCAGTGCATCTAGAAAAGTAAAAATAGAAAACAGAACACAAAACCTAGACTACATGTAAAATTAATGAATTACTATATGTCCGAATATACGAAAAATGTATTCAGGCGCATAATAATTTGTTTGAGAATGTGCGGCAGCCATTTTGGCCACCATCTTGGAGGCAGGGAGCATGACGTTACAGGACGCCATGCATGCGTGGCGTCAGGTGACGTCACACGCCGATATTGGCCCCACCATCTTGGTGTATACCTAGATATACAGCAAGATTGCGGCCACCAACACGTGTGGTGTTATATGACGTCATGCACCCCACCTCCAGAACACGCCAATGGCTGAATCCAAAATAGCATAAAAAAGTGTTTTGTTTGTAGAAACAAATCAAATCTTGTTTAGTTTTTCGTTCATTTCATCTGAAATGAATTTTTAGTCTTCGCACTTGTCTTATAATATGTGTGTTAATAATAATAATATTGCAAATGTGTGTGTGGGAGGAGAGGGGGGGCAGTTTTCACTTTAAAAAAAAAAAAATTTTTTACATTTTTTATTTTCATAATTTTTTATTTTTTCATTATTTATTTATTTTCTACTGTTGGGGGGGGGGGCCTTTGGGGAAATATTAGGGGTCCAAACAGACCCCTGACATTTCCCTTTTAAAATAGAAAATAAATTGAGGACACCAAATCCTCAATTTCTTTTTCAGCATCCTCAGCACTCAATGAATGGGAAGCACTCAGTATAGAGGCTCCTCCCCATTCATTCAGAAACTGATGATATATTTACTATCAGCTGTTTCTGAATGGGGAGGAGCCTCTGTACTGAGTGCTTCTCCCCATTGAGAAAATCTTGAATGAACAGGCTGTGATGTAAATCAAAACCTGGGACATATAGTACTATGTGTCCCCAGTTTTTTACAAACACAAACACAAAGACGATCGCTCCAGTGTTTGTCCTTCTCACACGGAGGATCGGTAAATATCATTGATATTTACCGATCCCCGCTCTGCCACACACAGAGCCGCTGTCATCCTGAAACTGACAGGATGACAGGGGCTCCGATCTCCTATCTCCGATCTCCTGCAGGCGCGGCTTCTCTCCCCCTCACCGTTCCGCCATCCTGACAGCAGGCAGCGCTCCCTCCTGCGCTGCCTGGGGACGAGGGAGCGCTGTCATATCGGATGGCCAGCGGTGAGGGAGAGAGAAGCCACCCCCAGGACGGGCTGTGTCAGCCGCACGGCGCCCTTGTTGCCATGGCGCCCCGTGCGGCTGCACAGCTCGCACACCCCTAAGGCCGGCCCTGACTCTAGAACAGACCCAGTGAAAGAACCTCACCCAGTCTGCTGCATCAGCACCATTCGGACGATCGTTTCAGCCGGACGCAGAGTGATCCATTACTGTGGAGACGTCGCTGCCTGGACGAGCAAGATGCATCCTGACAGTGAGAGACCCGTGAAGGCCTAGGAATCTGTGCCCGTCAGTGAGAGATCTACAGAGTGTCCTTCAGCAGCTTCATGTAACCAGAGATCATCTCCAGAGTGCAACCAGGACCAAAGGAGGTCAGTTTGAGTGGGAGGGAATGCCTGACTCTCACTGACGAATGCTGCAATCGTGAGACTGACCCAGAAGTCGGTGAGAGGCCTCTGGCCATTTGTGTTAATTTCTACAATCCACTTCAGCAACACAATATTGGCCCCAATGATGGCTAGCCTAGACTATTGCTACTGACCATTAGTATAGATAGTTGGAGAATATTTGGGACTGAGAAATTAGCAACCCAGTCTTTAAAGTCAGAGATAGCAAGTTAGACAGCTCAGTACTGTATATTTCACTTTATAGATAGCCACGGCTACAGAGTGTCTTAATACCAAATGTATGTTGCTGAATGTTGTTTCTTTTTGCAATTGTGTTTCACTCATTTGATGGTCAATTAGGAGATGTTATTTACTTAGTAAAGCTCTTACAAAACTTCACAAGGTGTGTTGGTGTGCTGTGGATCCTGTTTGGGCGGTAAATTCGAGCTTGGGGATAGAAATACCCGGGTTACTCTGGTGGCTCCTTCGGGGGTGAACGCTACAGTTGAAATGTGTTCCTTTTGAAGGTGGCTCCTTTAAACCTTTCTGGATATAGGATTTTCTTGTACAAGAAAAGTATTTATTTCTAGATGCACATTGAGTGTACCTGGAAAAAAATACAGTCACAGCTGTAAAGGAAGTAGTTGATCACCATGTCACTGTTGATCAGTGTCACAGCGCAAAAGGGTGTGGTGTTTTTTTTAAAAACAAAGTGGAGGGGTTTGACATGTCTTTTCTTATGAAGAAAGCTATTTTACATAGTAGTTAGGAACTTTCAACCAACCAAAGAAGAGCATCGCAGGACCCAGAAGAAGCAGCGAGGCAGATGAAGGTGGTGGGGGACAAAACAGTGAGTGGTGGTTGGATCCACGATCACTGGAGACGGACACACTAGGAGGTAATGTTGCCAAAATGTGCAGGTATGGTGTGTATAGTTGCACATCATGGAAAGAGCTTCCACTGCCCTATACAATCTAGTTCTCATTTAAAGTGTATGTCCACCCAAATCTATTTTTCCTAGTTTTGGTTAGAGTAAGGAAGGGTTAGAACCCCTGTGAAGTTTTTAGTGCTATCCGGGGCTCCACTAGGGAGATTTACGTTCACTTACTGTCCTGCTGACAACGTTTTATCAGACAGCAGTGTGGAGAACTATTCAACAGCTACACAACAAAAATAAAAATGCTTTTCTTTAGTCCAGCAAAGGAAGGCTAGAATCTCTGTGAGTTTTTTTTTTTTATTCTGTATGTGTCCCTTTGCAAGTTTTTCCCTCACGTCATGTCTGGTGAACTCATAGTCGACGAGACAGGAAGTATGGGAAAATCTCCTTAAAAGAGCCACAGATAGAATACAAACCAACAGGATTGTTAACCCTTCATTATGCTATCCAAAACTAAAAAAAAGCTTCAAAGTCCAGTTAAAGCCTCAAGCTTTTAACTTGTTAGCCAGTCAGGCTGCATAACAAGAATATGGGATTTTATCTTTTTTTTCGTGTAAGTGCTTTGAACAGTATAATTCATGTCGGTAGCAAACTAGAGACAGGGCCGGCCTTTGGGGTGTTCTCAGGACAGCTGAGTGGGGAAGAGAGAGAGCAGCCGCTGTCATCCTGTCAGTTTCAGGATGACCGCGGCTGTGTGCGTGGCCGAGCGGAGGATCGGTAAATATCTGTGACATTTACCGATCCTCTGTTTGTTACCGATCACTCCAATGTTTGTAAATAACTTCCCATTCATTGAGTGCTGAGGCTGCAGAAAAAAAAATTGAGGACCTTGTGTCCTCAATTTCTTTTCTATTTTAAAAGGGATCATAGATCATTATTTTCTATGGAATGACAAGTGTGAATGACACCAAGAATGCCCATTGACTAGAATGAATGCCCATAGAGTATAATGGGAAGAAAGATGGGCCATGGAGTCGAGAACCATATGACACTTGAAATAAATCTAAATCTAATAAATTATAGTCTATGGGCATTCTTGGTGTCATTCACACTTGTCATTGAAAATAATAATAATCCCACCTAATCTCAATTTATAACGTTGCTAATGTGCTTGGAGAGTATGCCTGCTAAAGATTTATTTGATGTGTCATATGGTTCTCGACTCCAAGGCCCATTATACTCTATGGGCATTCTTCGTGTAATTCACCCTTGTCATTCCATAGAAAACAGGAAAAATACAAAGTTATTTCAATTGTAAAATATGTTACTATACACGGGGAATCCGTGGTAAAGGATAAGTTTATATCTTTTTCAGATTTGCCTCCAAAATATCTGATACTATGCTTCCCATTATACTCTATGGGCATTCCGTTTGGCTTCATTATAGTCTATGGGCATTCTCTTCCCCTGTCAAAGTCTATGGGCATTCCATTCTGTCATTCCTTTTAGTAGGCCCCATCATGTTATTCACATATATATGAAGGACAGAACAGAAATGGAGTGAGCTTTTCAGGGAGATATACAAATTGTATATCTCCTTTA